GGGGGGACACAGCAGGGCGGGGGGGGGGCGTCAGCAGGGGATGCTAGAGTGGGGGCAAGCGCCTGGCTCCCCCTCCCCATTGCCACCGTTATCACTCACGGCCTCGCGCTCCCGGTCCATGATGGTCTCCAGCTCCTCGAAGTGCCGCAGCTTGATCTCCAGCTTCTTCATCTGCGTTTCCACCAGCAGTGCCACCAGCGACTTGATCTTACGCTCCTCCACTGCTGCCAAGTGCTGGGGGTGGGGGGGTGTGTGTTACCAGAGGTGGGGGGAGTGTCAGCACCCATGCCCAGGCTTCACGGCCCCCCCGCCCTGAGCCCTGACTCCAGCCCCTCACCTTGGCCTTCACGGCAGCAGCGGCCAGGGCAGCGGCGGCAGCAGTGGAGAGGTTCCCCTCGCCGATGTCCCGCTCCACCTTGGCTTTGCGCTCGGCCTCAGGCTCCGGTGGCTCCTTGGGCACCTCGTCCGGCCCTTCCTTCGCCTCCTTCTCCTTCTCTGGCTCCCCTGCGGCAGGGCGGGGGGCCGTGTCAGCAGGGCAGAGCTGGGGGGGGGGCTCAACATCCCACCCTAGCCCAGCCGGGCCCCCCACTCACCTGCACCATCACCATCACCCTTGTCGGGCTCCTTCTCGCCCTCTGCCTCCTTCCCCTTCTCCTCCTCCTTCTTGGGTGCCTCCCCGGCCTTCTCCTTCGCCTCCTCCTCCGCGGCACCATCCCGCGGCTCCTGGGGAGGGACCGGCCCCGTGGCTGCTTGAGTCCCCATGCCAGCCACCCTCCCCAGGCCCCCGCGCCCCCTCCCCAGGCCACCCAATACCTTGGCCTCCTTCTTCTCCTCTGTTGGCTGCGCCTCTGCCCGCACCTCCTCTGTGCCACTCTCCTCTGGGGACACAAGCGCAGGGTCAGGCCCCATTGCTGCCCGCCCCAGGCCTGGCAAACTCATCACACTGACCCTGCCTCACCTATCCGCTCCGGCTCGTCTGAGGTGGTGCCGGCGATGCCGCTGCTCTCCAGCCCGAACGCAGGGTCGGCCTTGCCTGTCACCTTGGCTGCTTCCTCCACCTTGCGGACATGGGCCTCCACCAAGGCCGTGGGCACCTCCTCCTTCATCTTGGAGAACTCCTCTGCAGGGCAGTGCCGTGGGCCCTCAGTGGGGCCCCCAACACCCCTTGGAGCCAGCCCTGGTCCTCAGCAGTCTGTATCTTTTGGGGGGCTTGTCCCATCCCCTCATCAGGCTCATCCTGCCTCCCCACAGGACTTGTCCTGCCTCGCTACAGAATGCCCTATAGGACTCATCCCATCTCCTCTTAAGAGTTATCCTGCCACCCTGTAGGACTCCCTATAGGACTCAGCCCTTCTACCTAAAGGACTCTCCCTCTCTCCCCATAGCACTTATCCATCACCCCATAAGACTCATCCCGTCTCCCTACAGAACTCATCCCATTCTCCTACAGGACTCCCCACAGGACTCATCCATCTCCCCATAGGACTCAGCCCACCTCCCTATAGGACTCAGCCCTGTCCCCCCCAGGACTCGGCCAGACCCCCACCCGCGCCATGCCCCGCTGGGAGGGGACGCATTACCCAGAGCCGACTTAGCAGCGGCGGAGGCGACGCGGGGGTCGACGACGGAGGCCAGGAAGGCGACGGTGCTCATGACAGGATTGCCGGACTGGCTGAAGGGGATGGGCTGGTAGGCCAGTGGCCCCAGGGAAGCCTCCGAGTCCTCCAGGTAAGGGTCCTCGATGGGCAGCCGCAGGAAGTGTAGGATGCACTCGTCCTGCGTCCGGCTGCCCACGTGCTCCGACACCTTGTTCCAGTCGTCCTTGTACATCTCCAGGGCCTGCGGGATGGAGCGGGGGGCTGTCAGCATGGGCTGGCAGTCCCATTGCCCCTCCACTCCCCATGGAGCCCCACTCACCTCCAGCAGCAGCAGTGTCTCCTGCTCCGTCCACTCCCGTGTGGCGCTGGCGGCAGCTTTGCTCTGCGGGGGGAAGAGAGGGGTGAGCGGCGGCAAGCGGGGGGCACGGGGACAGGGACAGGCGGTGCCCACCTTGGAGGGGACGTTCTTCTTGGTGTACATATCGGTGCGGAGGCCGAAGTTCTGCATGTCGGCTGGCTTCTCCTTGCTCTTGTCGGGGAAGTTCAGCATCTGCTGCGAGGCCGAGGTCTGCTGCCAGGGGAGGAGAGGGGACGCTGGGGACACGGCCGCGGGGGCTGGGCCGCGAGGATGCCGGTCCCCCCCACCCCATCCCAGAGAAGCCTTTGTGTCCCATCTCGTCACGGTGTCCCCCCCGCGTCCCTGCTCCCCGGGGCAGGGCGGCATGCGGGGCGCGAGGGGGAGGAGGGAAGGAGCCTTCCTCGGCCAGCGGCGGGGGGATGGACCCCAAGGAGCCGCCTACCAGCTCCGGCTTCCCCTTCACCGTCTCGGTGACGAGGTCTTCAATCTCTTTGCTCTTGCGGCCCGTCTTGGCGTCGCCGTCGCTCTGCCGGCCCTGAGGCACGGATCGAAGCTGTGCGATCCCCCCACCCCCCCACCCCACCCCACGCCCGGCCCCCGTGGGGACCGGGGGAAGGCAGAGGGGGGACACGGCTGGGCGACGAGCGGCCGCCTCCGCCCACCCACCTGGGGTGTTTTGGGCTGCAGCGGCACCAGCCCCGAGGGCGTATCGGCCAGGACGTGGAAGTGGGAGGTTGGCGGGGGGCCCATGGGGGTGGGCCGGCTCTCGGCATCCACCTGATAGTTGATGAGGCCCCACTGCTCCAGGAAGGCGTGGACCCTGTGGAGAGCCAGGGCTCAGACCCCGCCGGTCCTTCTGCCAGCACCAAGGTGCCAAACCGATCCACCCCTCCACAACCCCACCGGCGCCGGACCCACCGCATGATGGCACAGACATCCCCGGCCAGGTTGCGGCGGCACGCCGTGGAGGTCAGGTACTCCTGGGGGTTGAGCCGGTACGTGTCGATCATGAAGTTGCGGTATGCCAAGTATCTGGGGGAGAGGGGCAAGGTGTCAGTGCTGGCTGCGGCCCCACCAGCACCAGGAGGGATGGGGAAGGGGTGAGTGGGGGTTCGGCCTCACATTTCAGGGGTCTTGGATTTATTCTTGCCATTGAAGAACTCGGGCAGGGCTCGGCGCTCGATGGCGTGGACGCTGCAAGACGAGACGCTCAGGGAGGGCCTGGCCCGGCAGCCACACACTGTCTGGCTGGTGCCCTGTGGCACCGTCCTCACCCTCAGCTGTCCTGTACCTGTTGTAGTCGAACCAGGCGGCGTAGCTGGGGATGATGATGTGGTGGGTCTGTTCCGTCACATTGTCCTCATGCAGGTCGGGGTTCTTGGCCTGCTCCCCCTTGCTGCCAGTTCCGTTCTCCTCCTCATCCTGCCAGAGACCAGCACCACATGGGCATGGGGGTCCTGAGCCCCCCTTTTGGATCCTTCCTCATCCTCACTGAGAGCAGCATGAGTCCAAAAGCACAGGGCAAAACTACGTGTGGCCCCAGGGATGACAGGAAGGGCAGAAAAGGGCCCTTTTGTCCCCAAAAGAGGGACAAGGAAAGAGGGATAAATAGGCGACCATCCAGTGATGGTGACTGCCGTGCTGGGGTGGGAACATCTTCCCTGGAGGAGTGCTGGGCTGGGGAGGAGGGGATGGGCCTGGGCCTCACCTTGCCAGCTGTCTCCATGCTTTCGTCCTCCTGTTCATCTGGAAGAGAGGAGAACAGGGGCAGGTTTGGGCACCGCCAGGTCTGTGGTGCCAGGGGACCTGTCCTGGCACTTGGCCCCGGTGCCTTGGACTCACCCAGGTCTGTCATGGTGCCCCCCTTGACAGGCGCAGACTCCGAGTCCTTCTTGGTGTTGACTGCAGCAGAGGGAAGCGGTGCTGAGCACCCCAGGGATGGGCCCCCACCCCAGCCCACACTTGTGATGAGGGGACCCCGTGGGGGGGGCTGCTGGCCCCCCACCCTGACCTGTCTTGGGCAGGGTGACCTCCTCCACGTTGGGGACGGGCGAGGGCTCGTCCATGTCCTTCGTCAGGTCCTCCTGCTCCTCCTCACGGTGCCCCCGTTTGGATTTGTTGTAGGGGGTGGAGGGTCTGCAAAGGGAGAGACCCCCCGTGTTCCAGTCACCACCGCACCCCAGGGCCCAACTCCCCACAGCCCCTGCCCCGGGGCTGGATCTGACCCTGCCACCCTGCCCCAGCCTGGGCTCACCCCTTCTTCGCGTTCTTCTTCTTGGCCTCTGGGGTGGGAGAGGGGGAGGGCGAGCGCTTTCGCTTCTTGTAGTTGCCTCCCTTCTTGTCCCGCCTGTCTGAGTCAGGGCTGTTCACCTGGGGGAGACAGGGGGTCACTGGGTCCAACTGAGTGGGATGATCAAGCAGAGACCCCCATTTTCCCCCGCCATGGCTTTGCCACCCCGCTCTGACCTCGTCTGTCAGCGTCTTGGCTGAGATCTTCTTCCTGCGGGCAACAGGGCTTTTCTCGTCCGTCACCTCGTAGTCCTCCTCATTCATCCACTCGTTGAAGGTGTCTGTGTCCAGGATCCACTTGGCGTGGACCTGCGGGGCAGGGGTGCAGGCGCGTCAGGCAGCCAGCAGGCAGAGGAGGGGGCTGCAGCCGCCATCCCAGCCTGGGGGACCTCGTTACCTTCCGGGGCTTCTCCGGTGTTGGGGCATCCTCTACAGAGGCCTCAATCTCGCTGGCAGGGATCCAGGTGTCATAGCTGCGGGTGCAGAGGAATGGGGTGAGAGCGGCATCCACAGTGGTGTGGGCGCCCTGTGGGCATGGGGAGGCTCCATCAGGCTTCAGCCACGTCCCCACAGCCCCCGCCCAGGCCCCCTCACCTGTCGGGGTAGTAGCCCCAGTGCAGCAGGACCTGCTTGTCGCGCTTCATGACCGGCCGGACCCACTCCTCTGTGGGAGACACAGAGCACGGCCAGCACTGAGCACAGACCCGCTGTCCCACCAAGAGCTGCCCGTGACGCCCAGCACGGCTCTGGCCCCCAAACACCACGCCCCTCCCCAGTGTTTCACCATGAGCTCGGAGCAGGGGGCTCCCCCTTGCACCCACCTTCCTCCAGGTTCCCGGGGACAGGACAGACAATGTGGGATGCGTTGCTCTTGTCCTCGGTCACTGTGCCCTGCGAGGAGAGCGAGGGAGTGGGTCCGGGGCTGAGTGCCCGGGATGAGGTGTTGGATGGGCCCCCACCCCATGCCCCCCACCCTGGCGCTGCCACTGACCTGGTGCCTCTTGACGATGTCTTTCAGCTTGCTCAGCAGCTTGGGCTCGATCTCCTGGTGCAGGAAGATGTTGGGCCGGGCCAGGCAGTTGTTCTGGAGAAGGAGAGCAGAGCGGTGAGTGGGTGGGGGAGAGGGGGGGCCTGGGGGGGGGGGCAGGGGCGGCGCCTCCTACCTGCACCAAGGATTTCTCGATGGTCATGAACATCTCCACGTTGCGGTCCATCCGCGAGGGATTCTGGAAATCGAAACGCCGCCTTATTGGAAGAAAAGAGCGACTCTCATGAAAGCCACAGCTCAGGTCTCCTCGTCAGCATCCAAAGCCTGGGGGGGTGGGGGGGACACGCGCCTGAACCCCATCAGGGGTCCATGGTGACGGGAGGGGGGACATTCCCCAGCACCTGCTTGCTATGGAGGTGGGTGCCCTACAATCAGCCCACCCCTGTGCAGCCCCTGGCCGAGGCCACCCCAGAGCATTCCCATGGAGGGGACCCCCCAACCTGGCCCTGTGACCCGGCCCCCCGGCCCCCTCCTGCTCCCAGGACCCCCAGCCCCAACAGGCGCAGGCGGGCGCTCACCATCCTTGGTCGCTCTTGAATTTATAGGCCGCTGCCAGGATGTGGCACAGGGCTCCTCCCGCCTTGAAATCCAAGAAGCATTTTATCTGTAACGGGAAGAAAGGAG